GGAAACCTTCTATAGGTTTCAGAGAAAACGGATTTTTTTTAGAGTGTGTGTGGGTGTGGGTGTGGGTGGGGTATGGCTGTGGCTGTGAGTGTGGATCTTCTCTTAGCCTACACTCACACGCGCATCCACAACCAGACCCAGACCCACACCGACACCCAAATTTTTTTTCATTTAGTAAGATTGTCTCATAGATCAATTTAAAAGAGGGCGCATGGTTTTTTTTCTTTGGAGTAAAAGACAACTTTTTTTTTCTGGCATGCGACACATTACTACGTTCTCAATCATACACGGAGACTACCAGTCAACTGTAAGCAAATTATACAACACTGCAGTAACAACACGTTTGTGCATAGATTAGTATTTGACTATGAGTAACTTTTAAAAGTTTTCATCTTGAAATGAATCTCAGCCTCTCATTTAAGAATAGGCCTATGTAACAAAAGAAATGCAAATCGTAGATTCATTAAAATTTCTACCGAAGACCCAAGTACTGGTAATATACTTTCTTTATTTAATTGTTGAAATATTTCAGATTAATTGTGCATTTATATTTTACATAAAATGCATACAAGACGAAGCAAATTATCAAGGGATAATCAATTGAATGGTAATAACCAGTTACCATTAAAAGGTAACCATCATACCGAATGCTAAAGGTTGGTGAATCGTTGCTTTCTTCAAACTTTAAACATCCTACAAATTGTAGTAAGCGGTCAGGAAACAAATCACAGCAGCATTCCTCAAGATCTCTGCAGACAAATGATCCGAAACGACAACGGTTTAGTAAGTTGTAAAGCCTTTTTTAAGTATGAATTAACAGTTAGCAATAAACAGAAAAAAAAGAGATTTTTTAGCAAGGGTCGTAATTTCTTGGGTGTTTTAGTTTACTAGATATTTACCTTTAGAGCAGATAAGGAATTGGTAATGAGAATATACATGAGTGAATTGTAACTTTTTGGTACAATTGGTACGAAAAACCGAAATCAGACCTAAACCATTTATGAACAGTGCATTTTATTACACTCTATGCCTATGTTACACAGCAGAAGTTTCCCAACACATTATCACATATTAGTTGAGATACGACTTATTCCAATGTAAACATACCATAAAAAATGAAAAATGTCCTTCTACAGCTCATCATGTAATGTGAATATCTCGAGAACAATAACAGGTAGAGGGTCGAGTTTTTTACTTGACATACAACTCTGAGAAGTATATCTACAGTAAAAATTTGAGCAGAAACAAACTAGCCGTTCAGGAGTTATTTACATAATAAATTTCGAAAAGGTCGTTCTACATTTTATCGTATATTGTAAATTTCTCACGAACAATACGAGATAGATCGCTGAATTTTTGATTGCTTGTGTAACTTTTAGAACTATATCTTCAGTCAAAATTTGAGCGAAAACAACTAAGCCGTTCACGAGTTATTCACGTAACAATTCTCAAAAAGTCGTTCTACAATGTGAGTGAAATTCGAATTTTTAGGAAATAATGGATTTTTTTTACCGAAAAGAAAAGTCATTCAGAAGAATTCTTTTTTATCATTTTGTTGGTAAATCGGTTGTCTTTCTTTTACCTACTTTGCTTTCACTTCCACACACCCACACCCACACTGCATCCTCAGTCACTGAGAGTCGAGCAAGAAGGATATCTAGTCTTGGAAGCTACCGAAAACAAAGAAATCAAAATTAATATATCACGCACTTTTCCTTTGTCACTGTTTTCTTTTCTAACAGAAAATATAGCATCCATGGTTTCTGTTTCTCAAACAACGATCAGTCTCCTGTCTATCACTTACTCTCTCTGTTTACAAACAAACTTAATTATAACAACCTGTGTATGAGTTTCATTCAAGGCTGTTGCTATTTTGGTTAACTTGCCTGAGAGAACATTAACTGTTATATTTCAAAGCAGAAGTGAGAACAAGACAATACATGTTAACGAGCGCAAAGAACACTTCAATAGTTAAAGAAAGAGAGAAAACAATTGCAAAATTTATTCACACACTTTTTCTTTACGGGGTAGCCATAAAAGAAGTCAGGATCTGATCGTCCACCCAACAAACCGGACGGATCCAGAAAGACAAGAGAAGAAACGGATTCGAAAAGGTGGGTTCCTATTGGAGGCCCTATATGGATACTTCATTATAAAAAGATCACCCAATCATATAAGAGAAGTGAGCAGTCGGTTTAAGTTTTTTTTGAAAACGATTCGTATCATTGTCTTAGTCAACCAAGACATGTAGTGAGCAAGATGCAGCTCGGCAAGCTCTATCCAATGCTGTATTTAAGCTTTTTTTTAATGGAAGCAAATCGGCACAATTGAAAATAGGAATATTGATTTTCTCGTGCAGGAAGAATGTAACAAAACAAATGTTTTTAACTGGGTGTGGGTGTGCTTAACGGGACTAGGAGATTCACACCCATACCCACATCCACACGCTTAAGACAAGGCATTATATGCTTGCGTTATACTTTAACACTGATCAGCCACTGTGATTCATAGATTCTACAGACGTATCAAAATGTAAGCTTTGATTATCTCTAAAAAGTGTTCTTTGTTTCTGCTAAAAGTAGAGTGGGGTGTGTGTGTGGATGTGCTATATAAATTTGGTGGCGGTGTGCTTCAGGTGCGAGTATGCCTAGTGAAGAAGAGAAAATCCACACCTAGGCCTATACCTATACACACACTCTATAGACCTATGCTCATGCTCTTTCATTTTAATGATGCAGTCAATATCCTCCAAATTCAAGCATAGTATATATCTTAGAAATTGACCAAACAAAAGCTGGGAAAGAATCTAAGTAATGAGTTTGGAGCATTCATTATCTATTGCACAGTAGAATATGGGTGTGGCCAGAGTAGGAATAACACTCGCACACACATCTCACTCTATTTATAAAATGATTAAACAAAAAGAACCTCGATGACACATCTTTTTACAAAAATGAACATCGTATGAAGTGAAAAGTCGACTGATTTGTGATTATAAATGAAAAAGAAGGGTGTTGGTGTGGGTGTAGTCCTTCTCTTCATCCACACCTACCCACATTCACACTCATACTCACACCCGCAGCCATATCCACAGCCACATCCACACCCACGACTTTTTTAAGAAGGTTACAAAAAGTTTTAGCTTCACGAAGAATTGTTATATTTTATGTTACAAGAGAAAGACTAATATCAGATCTGTTGCGAAAAAATTTTGCGTCTCCCAATCTTGGTTGCCTCAGAATCCCCGTCATGCCCTTTCCCAATCCTGGGACCCTCCCATGGAGTCTGAGTATGGATATAAGTAGAAGTCTGGGCGCGGATATAAGTGAGAGTCTGGGTGAGCGTGGATGTGGAGTGTAAGTGTTGGTATGGCGTGTGACTCTTTCTATCAACGACACCCACACCCACACCCACACCCACACCCATCCTAAAAAAGAACATAATTCTTTGCCTTCATTAGTAGTTTCCAAAGAAAAAAGATGAAAAGAAAAAGAAAAAGCTGTTCAGTGTCGGCGAAAAGAACAAGTGGCATTTTTCTCTCCATAAAAGTAAGAAGAAAGAGAACAGAAGTAGGAAGAGAGAGAGCTTCATAGTTTCAAAAAGTCTATAAATTCAACACATTTTTCATTATTTCTTTAAAAGTACACCAATCTCTTCTAACTTATTACTCTGCATCTCGCTCTGCACTCCTCCAGATCGCGTTTGTTCATCAAGTAAGCGCAGAATATCAAGAACACGGTCAGTCGAAGAATGAGTTGTCTTCCACATTTTCTGACCTCTCTCGAAAATAGCTAAATACATTTCTCTTTCTCTCTCTTTCAACTTTATAGTCGGTCTCGTCGTACTTTCGATTACAATTGCAACGAAGAAAATGCCTAGGCGTAAAGGTTGCTGTGGATTCTGCAAACCACCTCCTCAAATACAGCAGCAAACTGCCACCACAATTTATGTGGAAAAAGATGAAGAAAAAAAAAAGAAGGCCTTTGGCTTTATTGAGATTTATCCAGGTAAGAAGAATTTCTCGGCGTTCATTTTGTGAAACTACTCTAGCTTGACGAAAATTCGTTGAAGGAAGAAAATATGAAAAGATTGAGGAAAATTGTCAGAAATAAGAATTAGACTTTTTTTAACGAGAAATACGGGTTGTCTTTAGTTTTGCCGAGTTGAATGAATTTTTCTGAAAAATGAGATTTTGTTTTCGATGAATTTTCGCAATTAACGATAGACTTGTTCAAAGTCCTTAAAAAAATGATGACTGGTCTCTTTTAAAGCAGGATAAGATTATTTATTTCTTTAATTGCGATCGAACAAATGCTAAAAAGACTTGGCTGGCGATCATATCTTCGCTTATTCGATCACAATTAGGAAAATAAGTTTTCTTTGACGTGTACTCTTCCTTCCGCTTGAGGACGAGATTCTGTAGCGCTGTAAAGTAGCGTGAATTGTTTAGTTTGCGTCTCTGGAATAGTTTCATCTTCAGACTTTTAGGTCGACGCGAATAAGTTCTTACTTAATTTCTAACTTTGACTTTGTTTTATCTGTCTTTTCAACCAGGTGTTCGTACATCGGATGATAAATATACTTGTCCAATGCTTGCTATTCATCTCTATCGTCATTCACTATTCAAAGGTAACATGGCTGAAGACAAACGAACGGTCACCGTCGATTATAATAATGAACAACAAGCTTATCAAGGTCCACGAGAATTAACAAGAGCAGCAAAACTCAGTGCTGAAGAAGAACTCATAATGCTTCCAGTTGAAGATATAATACTAATTAGCACTAAAACAGAAATTGAAGCAGGCATTGCAGCTGATGTCAAGGCAGAGATTGAACCTATTTATAAGTTAAGTGAAAACTGTTGTGATCGTTGTTGTGATAGTATACTCAATTGTTGTCGTAAAACTTGTGATTTTTGTGGCTGCTGTCGAAAGGAAACCAAAGTTGTTCCTTTTCTTCAGAAAACGACAACAATTTTATATGATCAAGATCCGAATCAAGATATTGAGTTTGAAGAAGAACATCTACCTATTCCAGAGGTGAAAGAAGGTTGTTGTACTAGCTGTTGTAATTGCTTTCGTTGTTGGTGCTGTCGAATTAAAGTGTTAGTTGATCGCATTAAACGAACAAAGACCGTAAAAGCACGAAACGCAAAACGTGTAATTACAATTAAAATTGAATACAGCAAGTACAGTAATCCTGATACACCTTCGAATGCACGTCTACTTAATGCTGAACAACAGGCAGCTTACTACAATCAGAAATTTGAACGGAATAAAGAATTAGAGTTCTATTTGGTCAGCAACGAACAATTCGATTCAGACAGTTTTAAACAAAAAAGTAATGAATTTGAAACCTTCTGTCGAACAGTGATGCATTTGAAAGCAATGAGAAATCATTATCCATCAGACACTGAATTAGAACAGATTCTTGGTCAACGACCAAAAACAGCAATTGGTGATGCATTTGATGAAGAAAAACTACTAAATGCGTTAAAGGCGCCGCCAAAAGAAGGAAAAGATAGTCGAAATCGAGGGCTACCTCAATCACCAAAACCGCTAGACAATTCACGAAAGCGGCCCAAAACACCAGACAGCAATAAAGAACCATAGAAGAACGTGGTCGAATAGGACATTAATATGCGCAGGAACGATTTTTAAAAGTTAACAGAACTGAAAATAAGAAAGTGGATCGGTGATTTTTGTATCTAACTTTTGAATAAACAACTTTTTAACTTGCCTGAAGGTGTGATTTCGAGTAGTTTAGAGTTCCAAGAAGAGGAGAAAAAAGGGTGTGGGTGGAAAGAGACAATACCCACACCCTTAGGTTTTACATCATGAGACATCTCGAGTTTATTTTTTAATGAACATTCAATGAGAGAAATGATAAATGTCAGGTTCCATCAGTTATCATGTTGTAGTTTCATTGTGTAAAAAGTCAATGTTTCATTTTTTATTATTGTCTGAAATCATTTGGTTATTTTGATATAGACTTTAAGAAATAGTGGTAAATTGGATGAGATTTTTATTAGGTCACATCAGGGATAAAGATTTTGTTGTAATTCATATATTGCTAGTTAAAAAAGTGATAAGATAATTTCTGATCCAAAGTTAACCTTTGTCACAAAAATCAAACAGACATATATCAACATTCAACTTTTGATGCTTTGTTGGTTCATATCAATGCTAAACAAAATATACTTTCTTGACACTCATTGTTAGTAAAATTAAAATAAAATGAAGTAAAATAATAAATCCTAAAATGCTGGAAAAGTTTTACAAACCATGACTTCTATACAAAGTTCAATTGCATTGCATATATTCTTCAAAAGTCTCTATTCAATTGACGTAAACGATTTGGAAATATTTGGAAATAGTCAGTATGATATTTTTTAAGTGTTTAAAGATGAATCTGAAGTAAATTTCTCATTTGAAGAAAATTCAAAGCAGATATATGCATAAAAATTTACGAATATATATGAAATATACAGTTATTTATAAAGCGGTAGAATATCTTGTAAGGCTTAATTAAAGGCTTGTTGCTAGTAGAATTTCAAACATTTTATACTCATTCGATAGCTCTTTCTTTGCTCTATCCAAATCCATAAAAACATTTCTAGTCTCGTTTGATTGAACACAAAAATACAGGCTCACACTGAGAAAAAGAACGAGAAAAAATGTTTATAAAACAGTATGGGTGATCTAGTTTTGACCTTACAATCATAGGCGGCGGAGCCACGAGGCCTGGGTAGGCTTGGGTAGGTTCGAATTATCCTAAATTAAACATATAAAAAAGCTTGAGTAGGCTCGAATCGTCTTAGATTGAGGAGATAAAAGAGCCTCAGATAGGCTCTGTTCAATGTTAAAATTCTCTAAAGGGTGGTTCAAAAGTTTCGACCACTCTCTATAAATCGATAGTATCTACAACAAACTAATATGAAGTTATTGATCAAATTACGTCATCTTTTAGAGAAAGATAAGAGTTATCATGTGAAAAAATATTTGGAAATAGATCTGGCATCTCACCAACACTTTGTAAAAAAAAAAGAGAAAAAAAGATGCCCAGCATTCTTGAAAAAAAAGAGACTTTTTAATAAAAAAAGAGGAGAAAAAGAGGCGTACAGTTTCCTTTCGAAGAAAACTAAAACTCACCGGCACTATAGCACTGTAGATCCAACAAAACTCGTACGTTATCAGTATAGATTGAATATGACTTGAAAGAGAAAAACAAAAACGAAACTTCCAAATTGTTCGGAGATTTTTGTGCAGCTGCTTATTTATCCCTAAGAAAACCGGAAAACATTAGAAAAATATTCTAAATATTCTATCTGCATAGTATCTGAGTATAGTATCACTGTCTAACTAAGTAGGTATATAGAAATAGAAACAATCAAAATTCATTAAATGTCCTTTTTGCGTTTTGTTCCTTTTTTTCGGATGGCTGCGCGTGTGAGAAAGTTTTTTCTGCGCTTTTTCAATTTTCTGCAATTCTTCCGTGATTTTGACCATTTTTCGCAAGTCAGTTTCACTTTTCTGTTTCTCAACATAAATTAATACATTGGTTGCAACTGTGTCCAGACAGCAGATTTGTGGAAATCATTTGACCGTGTGCTATCGAAAACGCTTAATTTTTCGCAGTGACATATGATCATCTTCTTGGGTTCTGTATAAAATGACTTACTTGTATTGAGTAGATTGAATAATCTCTTACTTTTTGGTTATTGGATACCCCTGTTTGTTGCTGTTGCATGCCATCATATCCGATTTCTTCCAAGTATCATCAAACCGTTATCAATATTAACCCATGTCAAGCAAACACGCTCGTAATTGGAGAAATACGGCGTTTCATATCGCCCAGTAATGTGACCGTATAAATCCGTGACCGTATGCGCAAAAATATGATCGTTTATAGATAAACAAAGCTCGTCTACACTTTTTGTTTTACTTTGTATTTCTTCGTATACGATTATATTTCTCCGTGTACGGTTTGGAGATATACGAACCTCTAAAATGTGATTGAATACGAAGAAATTCGGAAGAAGAGGAAGAGGGGTTACTTCATTTTCTGATAAGCAGAACTCTTCAAGTTATGTTATCATACTATCGGAAGCTATCTTGCCGAACAAATCCCATTGAATCTAACAGAATTCTAGACTGAGTCTAGCCATCCTAGGAACTCTTTGCTTTGAAGCATGCGCTACGCTACGAGTTACCTATCCATTGTTAGATTCATATCACAAGCTTCTCTGAGGCCGAAAAAAGTGGTCAAGAAAAGTGAGCTCGAGATTATATTTTTACATGTCGATCTTAACCAGGATAAATGTGGAAACCTGGGATTTAAACCCGAGAGTTATGCGTACTTCGAAAAGTGAATGAGACAGATAAGTCATCTTAGAATGTGTGGACGTAAAAATTATCCTGGCAAACCTTTTCTATAAAACACTTGAATTCTATTAGCTACTGCTCAATTAATAGGATTTAGAGATGAATACAACTCAGATTTGAACTCTTCGCCTTGATTTACCCTAAGAAAGTCGTTTTTTTCCTATAGCTTGATTTCTATTGGTTACTGCTCCACAAATAGGATTTCAAGGCAAACGGAACTTGGATTAGAGTTCTTCGACCCAGAAAACCTCGAACTATCATCTCTGTCATCGAAAGACAGAGCTCTAATTGTGGATCAATTAGAGTGTGGACAAGAACAGAACCATTTCCCGTTTAATTATCTTTGCAATAGGTGAGTTAGTCTTCTTGTTTCTTTATGTTTTATATACCATTTCGTAGCTCGTGAAATTCTCTATCGAATGGTATATAATGGTTGGGGTTTTATTTGACTATGATAGGAAAAGTTTCTTACGAAAGCGGGGATAGGTCGATTTTCGCGTAGGAAGGCATAGGGAATAATGACTATTTTTGCAATAACTCAGGAACGGCTTGATGAATCATTCTCATTTTCGAACTCAACCGAGATATTGTTGAGACTAAACTGTGTAGAAAATTTCATCGCAATCGGACTCTCCTTTCAAAAGTTATCGTGTAAACGGGTGGACACACTGACCGATTCTAGAGTGTACTCACTTTTTGAGTACACAAAAACATGTTAAGATCGTGAGAGAATGACGATTTCATATTGGAAACATAGTTGAGTACTTTTGCTTCCGCTAGAGAACTACAAAAATTGGGTTCCGATTATGAATATATAATATCGCTGAAGTTGATCACTAAAATCATATACTTTAGCTTCCTTAGCTATGCAACTTGACTGATCAGCACATCAATTTGTTATGTGATATTTTTGTATGATACGGTAACAATAATCAATATAGTCATGAATATTTTTGTCAACGACCTGCTTCTTCGCGAGACAAGAGGAAAAAGCGGATTTTTTCGAAAAAAGAGGCTAAAAAGAGGAATTTTAAAAGAACAGAAGAAAAGGAGGAAAAAGAGGTAGAGTGGGATGCCAGCTCAAAGCTGCTAAAATGATCATAACATTATAATAGATTTATGTATTTCGAAATATTTTTTTCAAATGATAATTCTCATCTTCCTCTACAAAATAACACAATTTGATCAATAACTTTGTATAAGTTAGTTGTAGATATTATCGATTTGTAGAGAGGGGTCGAAGCTTTCGAGGCATCCTTTAGTTATCAAATTCTACGGAACTTAAACCTAGCAAGAGAATCTGTAGCACTTACCATTATAAACGAAAAAAAAAGTCTTTCAATTGACTCTCGGTGCTGGCTTGGCTTAAAAGTTGAGCCTACCCTAGACTAAGACCGCTCCGCCGCGCACGCTTACAATACCTATATATTGGAAGCTGAAAAGAATGTCATATATAGGATTTTGTAGAGCGAAATTCGCTCTATCGAATGAGCTATAAATCGAAAAGGTTTTAATAAGTTAAAGAAAAGAAAATGATGAAACACTGGCTAATTAGAGAAAAAAAAATTTTTTTCAAAAAGTCCTTTGAGAGTCTTTCCAATGTTTGCTTTATAATTTTTCGAAAGTATGCCAGAAAAGGCTGAGAATTTGGATTTAGAGGTTTTGAATGATGCTCTTTTATTTGGAATCAAAAAATATAGGGATCACATTTTTCGAGAGTATGGCTATTCTCGATGGACTCGTGGACCCTCTCTTAATAATGATTATTTATGTTTGAATTTAATAAAAAAAAAAAAACTTTTCCATGCAGTTCATTTTCAGTCATTGTAAGACTTTAGCCGAAAAAATTTTATGCTACCAATTCTGCTTCAATAAGACGAATACAATGATCAAGCCCATCTTCGTTTCTCATCAATTCACCAATCTTTTTCGCATTCATTTCATACATAGTATAGTTATCGCTGATAAGATCACGAATTGCTTTGGTCAAATTCTTCACATTGGTCTGACGTATGGGAATAGGTCTTGGTCCTAACTTATTGATAAATACTCGATCACCGTTAAATGGTTGATCAGCTGCGAAAGGTAATATTAATGTAGGTAAGCCATATCGAAGGCTTGCATGTGTGGTACCAGCACCACCATGATGAATTGCTGCTGACATATTTGAAAATAACCAGTCATGTGGAATGTTTTGTGTTAAATATAATATATGATCAGTATTGACGAACTGATTCGTGTGTGTCTGTTGAAAGCCAACTAATGATATAATTGCTTTACAATTATTGTTTCCGATAGCCAATTGAATATTATTTAGAAATTCTATTTGTTCATCTTTTCCAAACATGACACCCATCATTGATCCAAGACCAACATAGATGATCTTTTCGCTTTTCCATTTGTTCAAAAAGTTAAGAAGAGGTACCGATGGCTCAAAATTGTGTTGTCCTTTTTCGAAAATGGGACCAACCATAAAATCATTTTCTTGCCAATCGGATGGACGTGAAAGTAAATAGTTCGAATATATTGTTGCACTTACCATTGGTTTGTCAAAAACGGATCGAACCATCTGGTAATAGTTTAGTTTAATCGGTGGTGCATTGATGCTGCCACGAAGTTCATTCATTTTATCATTATATATACTACGTGTAGCATATTCATAAATCTTCCATTTGAGTAAATTGATGCAATTGAATACACTTTTACTTTTTCGACCAATACCAGGCGGAGAAAATTCAGCTGTTCGTAATAAGGGAAAGGTGTAGATTCCGATTGCTTTTATATTCGAACACTTTTCAATACAACTTAAGCCAGCGAAGATGGACCCAACTGATAGAACAATCAAATCAGCATCTTTCAAACCAGATGAGATTCCTTTGAACCATTCCTCAACCGCTGGTAACAATACACGTTTCAGTAAACCCATTTTACGCAGACTTGGATTTCATTGTAATTCGATTCCCTCAGGCGTTGCTGAGAGAATGTCTTCCAAATCACCACCAATTTCAACTGTATCAATATCTGTAGAAGAAGAAAGAATCTCTTGAATTTATCAACACGAAACTATTAGTATACTCAACACAACAAAAATAATCATTTTAAAAATTGTCTTATTCACGTTCGTAATCCAACGAAGGAATACTGTGTGTATATTTCAAACAAGTTTTATACTCATTATATGATATTTCCAGAAAGTCACTAGTCACGAGAAAAAGGCGATTATTTGTTGGTCAAAAATTACTGCAGCACTGATACTCTTCTTTGAATATCTTCGTCAGATCTGATCCAATGGGTTGATCTTTTTTATGATTGATAGAAGAATATCTATAGCTTATTTTCATAAGAGAAGTATTGAAAAAAACTGATGTGAAGTATCAGAGTTGACTTTAATAAAGAACTATAGCTTTTCATGAGTTATGACGAAAAAACAATAATATATTTACTTCCTAGCCAAGAATAAACGATACACCGAAATGTTTTATTACTTTTCTATAGTGTTGGTTAGCCTGAAACTGATATCACAAATACATGTCTTATTAGTCTTGGTATGCTAAAAGTTTTATCGATACATAGAATGAATTTGTTGAGACAGCTACAATGTAGTTTTTCCATAACCCGTAAAAGGTTATAATTCTTTGTGGAGATCAGTTGTGTTATTTCATAACAGTTTTTTTTTAATGCTTTTCTTATGAGTATGAGATATGATTGTTCCTCTATCAGCGGTGATAATACCAATCCATTAGGTCAAAATATATCGAAAATATTCAGTTTGCTTTGGCTAATGACTTTCCGGATACCCTATATTCTGTCTGATTCTTATGTCTAAAATAAACAATATACTGGAATTTGTGTCATGCAGAGTTCAAAGTCAGATATTTGGCTTAAAATTAAGTCCCTTGCAATACAGTGTATTGTTACAGATATATGTAGTTAGATAAGTACATACAGTGTGATGTCATTTATCAAGTAAATCTGAATGGAATTTCCATTCATGTTCATTTTTTTGCGAAAATAAAATTTCATGAGTTCACTTTTTCTAAACTTATATGTAGCTTCAGTAATTTGGCTAGTAGTTTTCATTTTGGAAAGTTTCGTAACGAAAAAATTCGATATTTATCATGTTTTCTTTGAATCTTTTTTGACAGTACACTAGAACTCTGTATTCTGATTTGATATAAACTCGTTTCTTCAAAATTCGTTTTATTACTGTTTACTCTACAATTCAAAAAGTAAAATTTTAATTAAATTTAACTTCATCAGAGTATAGAAGTTGAGAAGATGAATTGTACAAAAGTTTTTCTTAATCGTTAGATTTTCTCTTCTCACTAATTCCCCAGAATTTGTCTGTCTTTTTTATCTGAAGATGAAATGCTACCATTTTGAAAAACAAGGCAAATGAATATCAAAATCGATTTTACAAAAAATAATAAGTGTGACTCATTTACGTTATTTATTAATTTACAATGGTGTCAAACAAACTTAGGTACTTGATAAAAAAAATGATCATTCGATTTTAGATGTACAAAATTTACCGGCAGCCTTTGCTACATCTTGAAAGCGTTTATGTACACCAAGCCACACAGTATGTCCTCGTTTTTTAAGCGCTTGCGCAAGAATTATGAAAGGTTTCACATCGCCCAGAGTGCCAATCGTTGGAATAAAAATCTTTTTATTTATTTTGTTTTTGTTATTATCATTATCTTGTTCGACAACGAAGGTTTCTACTTGAGTTTGTGATTCCATAGTATTTTAAGCGCTGCCTGTGGCTCTAAAAACATAAAATGATAACAAAAGTTTGCTTGTTTTTTATTTCGAAAATATGGGAAATCCACGAATAAATAACTTCGGTCACGTATAAACAACAATAGTAAAAGAGAAAAATACCTAAAACTATCCTATTATTTAGATACAAGTATGTTAAGCGCGAGATCTGATATATATAAAGAAACGCGAAAAAAACCGAATACGCTTTCAGCTTACAAAGGTAGAAAAAGTCAATATATCCTTCGAACTCATAATAATGATAACATTTCAACAACTATTTATACGAAGGAAAATATAAAAAGAAAGCAAACAGATAATAAGAAAGAAAAAAAGCGCTGTGTCACAACGACAGTAAAGATAAGGCCACTTAGTAGAAAAAGTACTTGGTTGCCAAGTATATCAAGCTATACTTCGCAAAATAGTTTCAACTGTACAATGGCGCATAGGCGCGTGTTCATTTTTTAACTATGCACATTGAATTTAATATAGAGAAAGAGAGTGTGGGTGTGGATGTGGATCAATTGAACATCCAGACAGCTACATCAACACCCACACCCACATCCACATCCTCCTGTCTTCAGACAGGTGGTAATAGCCATTTCTGATTGATTTTAGTTAATGTGATTTAGGAAAGTGCCTATTTAGAATTTGTTGATATAATTCGTCTGGAAATCTTTTTTTCATTTCTATCACCACCAAATGAATATACGAAGCCTGATACAATCATGATTGCAGGTTTCATACTCGATTGAGTTGGTTTATTACCATCAACATGGATGGGCCTTATAAGCGAATCCATTCTACTAATATTTGTATTGAGAACTTTGGCCCATATATGTTGTGGCGATGAAAATACAGTTCGATTGATAGATGATAGTAGTGTGACTGTGAATGGCGCCCGTTTTTTGTTATGCAGTCGATCCATAAATCGCTTTGTTGTACTCAACTGTGACTATCTATGTTACGTTCCCAAACCACGTTTAAGTTTTATTGTTCGGTTGATTTTGTTATTATTTACTATACTTCTTAGAATACTTGCCATCATTTTATATACAACATCGTAAACCAATTCCGTATCTAGGCCACTATTAGTATCCTCTTCCCATGAAAAAAAAATTATACAAAACAGCGTTCCGACGCAAAAATTTGAGGAAAAACGCTATTTTGTCGTTTAAAGACACCGTTTTTATTGTCTGCAATGGGTCTAAATACATCATCTTGTATTTTCAATGTGTTGAAATGCATCCTGTTTATTGACAACGCGTTTTTTCAACTTAAAATGCCATCTTAAACATCGTTCAAACGCGTTTACTTCTATGAATTCGGACGCTTATAGTTGCCATGCATCTCAAGGCGTTTTTTTTCTTGAAAAACGGGTTCTTTTTGTAAATGCTTCCCAGGTCAAAGATGTACGGCAGGAAACGATAGGATCCTGCGTAATTCCGGCCATTTCATGGAAGCAGTATTCCAAAATCGGATCCGGCTTCCGGATCCTGCTTAGTTCCCGCTAATTCCTGCACCAGGATGCAATGTTCGGATACGGTTGTCATTTCCGGTTCGGTTCCGGACCAAGTTTCCGGTTTTATAGCACGCTAACAGGATCCGAGCTGTATACCTGCCGTTTCCAGCACGGTTCCGAACAAAGGTTCCGGTGTTTCTTCCCAACCGCCGGATCCCGGTTATAAAGCACCCATTTCCATTCCATTTACAAAGCCCACATCCGGTCGTATTAAAGATCTGTGAAAGATATTTCGAAGATCTTTCAAAGACTATCAAAGAATTTCAAAGACTTTCAAATACCTTTTAAAGATTTTCAAAGATATTTCAAAAATCCTTCTAAGATCTTTCGAAGGCCTTTCCAAGAACTTTAAAAGACTATCAAACACTTTGAAAGATCTCTGAAAAAGCTTTCAAAAATCTTTGAAAGATCTTTCTAAGACTTTCAAAGGCTTTAGAAGACTTTGAAAAAATGCTTCAAAGATCTTTCAAAGGCTTTCGAAGACTTTCAAAGACCTTTCAAAGACTTCCCAAGACCTTTCAAAGACTTTAGCAGACTTCGAAAAAATGCTTCAACGATCTTTCAAAGGTCTTTCTAAGACTTTCAAAGGTCATTCTAAGACTTTCAAAGATCTTTCAAACGTCTTTCTAAGACTCTCAAAGATCTTTCAA